GCCTCTGTTATAGCCTTAGTCTGCATCTGCATCTCAGTCTCTTCTTCCATCATTTCACCTCATTCCACCAGTAATTTAAACAATGACACCTCCCCAGAAAACCCTCTTTTGCCACATGGCCCTTGCCATGTGTCAGCTTCACACAATTAGACATACACAAGAAAGTTGCACATTCTCTCTTAAAGATTCGCAGGGCTTGTCCCTCAGAGCAGCTTTACTCCAAGCCTGCAATCCTGTCATAAGAAAAACTTTAGCCAGTGATTTTCACGTTAAAGTTGTTCAACTCCCAGCTCTGCTTGGAGCCTGTATCCTAGAAGATGTTTAAGGTAAATCAAACTTCACAATTGCAAACAACTGTAGATCATAAAGTATTCAGCACTACAGAGACAAGCATTATATGCAGTTTCTTTTTTTCTTTTTTCAAGTCATTCAACGCACTACTATTGCTATAATTTGCCGCAAATCATGTATCATCCCATGCGTTTATTCCAAAATACTGTAATCAGTGACTTTCCTTAATTTATGTCACTTACTCATGTCATCACTATGAGCTTAATAGTAGTCAGATAATGAGCCCAAGATTAAAAATGTCCTTTAATCACTGCACGTGTGCTCTAATGTCACTTGTCTGTCCGTGCTGAATCCTTCACAAGCACTCTTAGAGAAAAACGACACATTAGCCTTGGAGCGTCATGGAGGTCAGGCCTGGATCAACAGATTCCAGAGGTGCTGCTGTAAATCATGTGGTCAATCCTCCTTTTCTGTGAAAGGAGTGATACTGATTTTAACACAGCATGTGTTTCACATTGAATACACAGGCTCACAGTAATATTCAACATTTTCCCAACAGCACGGTTTAATTGCATCACAAACACATAGCCTGTAAACATGGTTTCCTTCACACAAAAATTGTAGTTAAAGGTTAGATCTGTAGGGCCCACATTCTCATGTGAGGGACTGAGGGACTGAGGTTAAGCTGCAAAAAACCTACGGAAGAAACTAGAAAAAGAAAAAGAAAGAATAAAGAATAAAGAGAAACAGGATCTCAACAGTGTGAATGCCTGTGAGACATTCACACAAGGAGGTGAAGAAACTGAAAATTAAGGTGAAAACAGTTGAAGAAGCAGAATTTTTTGCTGAAAAAAGGTGAAAAGCCCAAAATTCTGCTGAAAATGGGTAAAGATGCTGATATTTGTACTGAAAAGAGTTGAAACAAAGTTGAACTGTGTTTCCATGAGCCAGATTCGAGCCCAGGCCCTGGTCTCAAGGCGGCCTGGGTTCAATATCTGATGCCTGTGAGGCATTCACACAATAA